AACTGTGAACAAGCAGAACAGAAACAGACTCATAGATAAATAGAATATTTGGACAGTTGCCAGCCAGGAGCGGGTTTGCAGTGCCTGATGAAAAAGGTGATGATATGAAGAAGCACCAGTTACAGAATAGTCACGGGACTGTACAGCACAGCATACGAAATATAGTCAAAATATTGTCATAACTATGTAGGATATCAGGTGGGTAATAGATTTATCAGGCGATCATTTAGTAAGTTATATAACATCTAATCACTGGGTTGTACCCCTGAAATGAATACTGTATGTCACTTATAATGAAAAAATATATTACAAGTAACAAAAAGATGAATAGGTCCTGAGCACAATGGATATAGTTAATAATGCTTCCTGTATACTTGAAATTTGCTAAGAGAGTAGATCTGAGGTGTCCTTACCATAAAAAAATTTTAAAGTTAACTATGTTAGAAAAAATAAAGTCTGTCATGGACCATTGTCCTACCAATATTAGTGTGAGAAATACTGCCTTGTGGGATTTGTGTTTTCTTAGTTATTTTTGAATATTAACATTCTTTTTAATTTCAGGAAATTATATCATTTTTCTCTTTAAATATACTATGTAAAATAAAGGTTTCTTCATTAACTATTATTTTAAATATATTTGGGACAAAATAATTTTGGGGAATAACACATATCTGGTACTGTAATGCCAATTAAAACTATATTATTGAATTTAAATAAATTAATTAAAGCCAAATATTTCAAGTATAGTATTTCAAATTACTTAATATGAGTCACAGGGACATAATCTGTCACAAGAAAGTACATAGATTAGCCACTAGGTGGCGGTAACAGTAAATTTTTGTTACAATGTCATAACAAAATTTGTTGTATGCTCTGCATCATATTTTTCAACTTACATAGAAATTTAATTTGAAGGATGTCTCCTACGTTTTTGTTAATTTTTACATACAAAGTAATAAACACTTTCCAAGATGACCAGAACATGATTTATAACCAGTGCTTACTTTTTAGAAATGGTGGAACAGCTGTTCCAGTGGAATCTAGGTGCTTGGAGTGATTGGTGAAAATAAAATAGATTATGTAGATCATAGTAACAGTCACTGAAATTAAATATAGAGAAACAATCAGATAAGGAAGATTATAATTTGGGGTTGTCAAAACCATGGGTTTAGCAGAGTTAAGCCTGTTTCAGGGGTTACACTGGATTAGAACGTGTGTACGTCGGAGGGAAAGGGGTAAAGGGGTAAAGGAAGGCCTGCTCCTGTCAGAAAAACCGCAGAGATTTAGGCTACCTGAGCTCCCTGGGTCACACGTCTAGAGCCAGAGCAACATCTCTGCCATCATCCTATGGGTACCAGGGTTTCTTTAGCTCTTTAACAGCCTAACTCAGTGGTTTCTACCTCTAAATATACATAAATACACATTTGAATAAATATTGCTACAACCTTCTCTATCATTTTCTAACTCATTAAAATATATTTGAATATAGTCCTGGTGAAGACTACTTACTTAGAAGTGTATTTTTAAAAAATATTTTATTTATTTATTTTTAGAGAGAGGGGAAGGGAAGGAGAAAGAGTGGGAGAGAAACATCAATGTGTGGTTGCCTCTTACGTGGCCCCCGCTGGGGACCTGGCCTGCAACCCAGGCATGTGCCCTGATTGGGAATCAAACCGGTGACCCTTTGCTTCACAGGCCCATGCTCAATCAACTGAGCTACACCAGCCAGGGCAGAAGTGTATTTCTAATTCAAAAAATTTTACTCACTGAAAAATTACTTGCTAAAATGAGTATATAATAACCCAAATTTCCACTAGCAGTGTGAGTATCCATTTTCCTGAGTTACCAGCAGCCACGTATTTAGATTTGTTGAAATACCCATGGAACCACAAGCTCCTTAACCAAGAGCAGATGACATGCACGTCTATTTCTCTTGCCATTTGTCCCATGCTTGTTTCATACCAGACCTTCATGACCTGTGCTTTTACACACATTGTTCTTTTGGCCAGAAACAGTCCCTGCCTCGTTCTGTTTGACTGGGAAACTCTTTACCCGCCGTCAAACACGACTTCCTCAGTTAGGGCGTTAGGCCTTCCTGCAGAGCCCAGGTAGTCAGTCACTGTCACCTATGCCCCTACAACATTCTTTTCATTTCCATAATTGAGCAAAAAAGAATGCCATCAATGTTTGTACAGCTTCCTCCCTGAGTAGCCTATAAATCCTATGAAGATTACATTTTTTAATTATTTTATTGTTTATGCTATTATAGTCTTAGTTTTTCCTCTTTGCCCCCCTCCACTCAGCACCCCCCACTCCCTCAGGCAATCTCCACACCATTCTTCATGTTCATGGGTCATGTGTATAAGTTCTTTGGCTACTCCATTCCCTAAACTGTACTGTACATCCTCATGGCTATTCTGTAATGATCTATTCGTACGTCTCACTCCTCTCACCTCTTCACACATTTCGCCCATCCCATCTGGCAACCATCAAAGTCTCTCCCTATCCATAATTCTGTCTCTGTTCTTCTTGTTTGCTTAGTTTGTCATTCAGATTCAGTTGTTGATAAGTACGTATTTATTGCCATTTTACTGTTCAAGTTCTTATCTTCTTTTTCTTAAATAAGTCCCTTTAATATTTCATATAATAATGTTTTGGTGATGATGAACTCCTTCAGTTTTTTCTTGTCTGGGAAGCTCTTTATCTGCCTTTCCATTCTAAACGATAGCCTTGCTGGATAGAACAATCCTGACAGTAGGCTCCCACTTTTCATGACTTTGAATATTTCTTGCCAATCCCTTCTAGCCTGCGAAGTTTCTTTTGAGAAATCGGCAGACAGCTTTATGGGAATTTCCCTGTAGGTAACTAACTGCTTTTCTCATGCTGCTTTTGAGATTCTCTCTTTAACCTTTACCATTTTAATTATGATGTATCTTAGAGTGGGTCTCTCTAATCTCTCTTGTTTAGGACTCTTTGTGCTTCCTGGACTTGCATGTCTATTTCCTTCACCATATTAGGGAAGTTTTCTTTTATTGTTTTCTCAATAGATTTCCAATATCTTGCTCTTTTTCTTCTCCTTCTGGAACTCTTATGATGTGAATGTTGGATTGCTTGAAGTTGTCCCACAGTCTTCTTACACTATCCTCATGGTTTTGGATTCTTTTTACTTATTATTGTTCTGATTGATTGCTTTTTTTTTTTTTTTTGCTTCCTTAAGTTACAAATCATTGCTCTGATACTCAGTTTCATCCACTCTACTGTTGATTCAAATTGTTCTTTATTTCAATTAGTGTATCCTTCGTTTCTGACTGGGTCTTTTTTATGCTGCTGAGGTCCTTACCAAGTTCCTTGAGAAATCTTATAACCAGTATTTTGAACTCTGTATCTGATAAATTACTTATTTCCATTTTGTTTAGTTCTTTTTCTGGAGTTCTGACCTGTTCTTTCATTTGGGCCATGTTTCTTTCTGTCCTCACTTTAGCAGCCTCCCTGTGTTTGTTTCTATGTATTAGGTAGAGCTGCTGTAAGTCCCTGTCTTGGTAGCATGCCCTAATGTATTAGGTGTTCTGTAGGGTCCAGTGGCACAGCCTACCCTATCACCCAAGCTGGGTACTCAAGGTGTGCCCTTATGGTGAGCTGAGTACATCCTCCTCTTGTACCTGAGCTTTGATTATTATTGGCGGGTCAATGGGAGGGATTTTCCCAAGCCAGTCAGCTACAAGTACTAGCTGTGACTATTGACCACCAAATTCCATCCTCTGTACAGGGTCAACTATGCAGGGGCAGGGTGATGGTGCTCTGACATGGTCTGTAGCTGACCATTGGATGTGCTGGCCCCTGAGGTTTCCCAGGTGGTGCAGGCCAAGGTCGGCCCCCTCCTGTTTTCTGCTTAGGGCCACCCTGCATGAATGACAAAGCAATCTGCAGATGGCTGCTACTTGTGGTGGCTTTGGAGGTTTCCAGGTGAAACCAGCTGTGAACCTAGGCTGGCTGCTGCTAGTGCTGGGCCTGGGGCCACTTAGCAAGAGGTATGGGGGCAGGAGGCTCAGTGAGACTAGCTGTTTCTTGTTGGAGAGAATTTACAAAGTTGTGAAGCATGAGCCAAGCCCAGCTTTTTGTATGTTCAAGGCACTGTTAACAGCTTGGGGGACCTGTAAATTGAATGGGGCATAGCCTTGGGGATTCACCTGGGTGGGGGAAAACAGTGTTATCCAGGTTGACGGAGTCTCAGATTTGGCAGCAGCCTGCTGGCTCTGTGGCTTTGTAGGGGAGGGTTCAGAAACAGAACATTGTCTTCTGCCTGCCCTTCTGTCTGGGAGAACGCTGACCGCCAGCTCTCGCCTTTATGCCAGACACTTCAGTTCCTCCCTATGTGCCGCTGATGCCTTTCAAGCTGCTTTCCCGGTGCTGGGGCTCAGAGGGAGTTAGTTGAATAAGTCTTTGTGCAGATGCTTTAGAAGAAACTGCTTGGGACTCCAGAAATTTCTTCCACTGACTCAACCATCACTTGTTTTTGCAGCCAGAAGTTATGGAACTTATCTTCCTGGCACTGGAACCCTGGGCTTGGGTCCTGGTGTGGGGCTGGGACCCCTCACTCCTGAAATATCCCTCCCAAATTTTTATCCACCCCATACGGGTGTGAGACTATCCTGTTCCATGTCTACACATCTCTGCCCATTATCAGTCTGGATGGATGTGGCTTCTTTAATTCCACAGTTGGATGGAACTTCCATCCAACTCGATTTCTGACAGTTCTGAGTGATGGTTGTTCTATATTTTAGTTGTGTTTTGATGTGGTTGTGTGGGGAAGTGAGTGGGGTTTATCTACGTCTCCATCTTACCTGGAAGCCTTCTAAGACTTCGTTCTTAATCGACACTTAGTAATCTATTTGGTGCCTGTGGCAATTAGATATCTGTTGAACAACTCATTTAATTAATTGTTTTAAAAGCATTCTTGACTGTTAGAATGGCTGTCTGGAGAGAGGAAAGATCCTGCCTACCTGGTACAAAATGGGAATTGTAGTCAGGAGGGGCCGCAGGCAGTGGATCAGGAGACTTTATCTGATTTTCCATTTCATCTGCAGGTTTCTCAGGTGCTGTGGGGACTACACCTTTGGGGAAAGGCAGAGGACAAGACTTACAACAGAAATTATATGATAACAGAATATACTCATTTTTCTCTTATTGGCATGTACCAATGCATAAAACCAATATGAAATACAGTCATATTTCATATAAAACATAATCCACTATGTATATTAAATACCAACCTGTTAATATATATTTGGTGAATGTTCCAGCCGAATATAGATTTAAATAAAATACAGCATTATACATGCCACTGTGCAATGATCTGAGCAACAAGCTTTTGTGCTCGTGGCTTCAGTGGGCCTGAACCTGACTGCTCCTTACATAAGTCCCTTTCACAGTGTCAAATATGACACTGCTTAATCCTTTCTTCTGATATGTACAGTCATACACAGAATGAATCTGACTTTTCCCTGAATCCTTTTTGGAAATAGATGCATTTAAAAAAATTTAAAACATAACATGATAAATACTTGGTAAATTCAAAACAGAGCACAATGAACACTAAATGTCTGCAAACCAGCAGAGCGACACTCAGCCCCACGAGAGAGGTTGGGTCGGAGTCTGTGTGGCCCATGAGTCACACCTGCACCCTGTTCTTCCTGAGAGGCCTGAGTCTCCGTGGTGGCATCAAGGGGACACTGAAGTGTCTTTCCGTGGTGTCTTCTTACTGAAATGAGAGAACCTTATCCTTGGACTCAACAGAAGGAAAAGTTCTGAATCTCTTAACTGATTGACTTTTATCTAAAAAACACACACAAATCCCACAAATGTGGTGTTTCTCTCCTTATATCATCTCCTGCATCGCTTGAAGGTGCAGGAGCTACTTCTGAGCCCTCCTCTGCAAAGGGAGGCTGTTATCACAGACTTTTCATTGTTACTGCCTTTCTTTGCAGACTTACTTTCCTGCCAGTATTTTTCCTTTACTCAAACTTCCCCATATAGTTTAGAGATCTCTCAGTACATATGTGCCAGTATGAATCCCTTTTAGTCCTTTTTGTTAGAGAAAGAAATGTTCATATGTATAAAGCAGTATATATACATGAATATATATTCTCCAAACACTAAATAGCGATAAAGAACTTCAAAATGAAATCAATTCCGATTTTTAAAGAAATCACACAATTTACATTTGAAAATAAAGCATATTAGAATATTCACAAAAACTTACCTGACATTTTGAAGAATTCCAATTAATCCTGAAAAATAAAATATTTTCACACCTTAAAAATACAGTTACCATTACTACTCAGTGATACATGAACAAATTCTGTGATTCTTTTAGCCTCCAGGCACATTTCACTCATTCCTTCATTTAATCGAACAAGCATTTACTGAGCACCTACTATGTACCAGGCACTGTGACAGATGTTGGAAATACAGCAGTAAAGCAGGCAGACATGCTGCTAAACATTATATTCCGGTGAAATGAGATTTTAAAATATGTCAACAAATACTTAAGATTAAATTTAGATAGTACAGTTATGAAGAAAGTAAAAAGTTTAAGAAAAACATGAGTGTCAGGACAACCCTCTCTCAGGAGGTGACCTCTGAGCTATTTGAACTATGAAAGGAGACATTACGTCAATAATGTGGGAAGAGAGTTCCAGAAAGAAAGACAAAAAAGAGCAAAGGCCCTGATGTAGCACTGAGCTTAGAATACCCAATGAAGAGAAAGAGGTCAGGTGTGCCTGGGACACTGTGAATGACAAACACAAGGTAAGGAATGATCTGATCATGCCTCAAGGTCGCAGCAAAATGCTTGGAATTTGTTGTAATTGCAGTGGAGTGATCAGATCTGATCAATAATTTTTCACGAGGGGGCGAGAGTGCAGGCAGAGAGCAGTGACAAGGGATGGCAGCAGCTCTCCAGATGAGAGATGCTGCTGACTCAGAGCGGGCAGGTAACCCTAGGTGTGGTCAGATGGATGACATGATCTGGAAGCAGATCCTACAGATGGGCTGAAGAAGACAGGACTCAAAGGTGGGTCTCAGTTTTAGGTCAGGACAACTAAGTTGGTGGCAATGCTAGTGACTGAAGGAGAGAGGAAGAAGGTGAGGGAAGTGGCAGAGAATGGGGAGGGCAGGAGTCAAAAGTTCAAATCAGGACATGTTACAGTTCAGAGGAAGAAAAAGAAGACATGTTAAACACTTAAGTCTAAAATGTGTGTGTTACCATTATAAGAACAACTCAGAGAGGTAAACTGGAAGTTCAGATGAGACTTTGAAACAAGGGGTGGTTGGAGAGAAAGAAAAAGAGGTTATCAGAGAAAGGAATTTCAGTATTTCAGGTTTCTGAGTTCTGGGTGATAACAAATAACAAGAAAGATGGTAACACTATAATTTACTGCATGTTTATCAAATGTCAGGCAGTGTTGAGCACTTTTCATCTATTATCTCTAGTTATACCAGCATCTCTCTAATATGTAACTGGCCACACTTGTTCAACTCAAGTAAATCCAAAGTCCATGTTCTTTCCAATATGTTACGCTGTTTTTAAGAGCAGTGAATGTGGACATGTTGTCCGAGTAGAGCAGAAAGTCAGCAACACAGAGTAGGTATCAAAGAAGTGTTAGAACACCATGTGAAGAGTCAATACAGGCACTGAGTTGACTCAGTGAATGTCCCCAAGGCATAAGCCAATATGTACGTCCCCAGCTCAAATGACTGTCCGGACAAGCATGGGCCAGAATTTCCAGTCTTGGACCACTTCCACTCACCTCAGGAGCTGAAGTTAGTTATGTTAAATGTAAAAAACGTTTTCTGGAGCACACCAAAAATCCAGACCCAATCGCAGGCCCAACACGGAGTTCAAGGAAGTCGATCTTATTCCTTGAATGAAGGTAACCTCTGGTATTTAGAAAACAGCCACACCTTTCTAGAACTTTAAATTCTGGACATACCTAGGAACATATCCACAAGTAACTCTTGTACGTGTGCACAGAGGTTATCTACAAGAATGTTCTTGACACATTGTCACATAAAAAGACTGAAAGCATTCCTAACATCCATCAATGGTACAGTAGATTCTGGTATATTCATAGGCCCTCCCTTAATGTCACTGACAGGTCCTGCAACTTTAAGGGAAATGACCATGTATACCCAATTTTAATGCAGGCTAATTGATGTAAACAAGAGTTAAGTTCCTACAGCACCTCGTCAACATTGTAACAAAACTACATGGAAAAAAAGACATTATCTGAAGACCTGCTGTAGTGAAAACAAACTACAGCCAAATATATCAGCAGGGATGAAGCTCAAAATTACAACACTGAAAAAAATAAAAGCAAGTCTTCAGGGAAAACATGTGAATCCATTTAAAAAGTGTTCAAAACCAGGGAACTGAAACACTTTTCTTCTGATACATCTATGGGGAAAAACTTTAAAGAAAAGTCAGGAAATAACACAAAAGTCAGGAAAATGGTCACACGTGGAGAAGAAACTATGTGTGTTAACTACTGAGCAGTGGCCCACGAAGGGCTTGAAGTTCCTGCTAATGTTCTGGTTCTAACAGGGTAGTGGGTACAGGAATGATCCATTGTTATTAGTTTTTAAAGGGTATAGATATGTGTTTAAATACGCATATTTAGGTGGATAACATTGTTTCACAATGAAAAAATAATCTGACAGTTCTATGCCGAGTGGAACCTTCTCAGGAAACACCTGTTGTTCCTTTCTACATTAAGCCTGCGAATGACACACTGTCGAGGAACAACGAAGGAAATGAAGTAGAAGAACTTATTAACTGTCTTAATAGACAAAGAGGCCAAGTTACCTACCACCCATCCAACCATTCATCCGTCTATTCAACTACCAATAATGGCAAGTGGTATAGTGTAGTACAAAAGTGGAAAATTTTAGCAATTGTTGAATCTGGGTTAAGAGAATGATTTAAATATTTTTATTTTCAAAATGGAAACTTGAAGAAAAAAATACAGAATTCAGTGAGATTACAACTGACCCCACAGAAATACAAAGGATTCTAAGAAACTACTGTGAACAATCATGCCAAGGTAAATATAACCAGAGACATTGAAATAAAGAACGAACTAACAGTAACCAGAGGGGAAGGTGGAAAGAGTTAACTGGGGAATACAGGAGAAGGGCCATCAAGGACATGTCTAAAAGACACACAAACAAAGCCAATGAGGGGAGGTTCAAGGGTGGGAGGTGGGGATGGGTGGCGCAGCCGGCGTGCTGGTGTGAAAATGGAGACAAAAGAAAAAAATGCAGAATTCGTGCACCCAAACCTGGGGGACCAGGCCTGGAAATCAGTGCGTTATCACCGTCCTACGTAAGCCTTATAATCGGGCATGTTTGAGGCTGATATATTATAAAGAAAAAATAATGGTTCTCAATCACGCCAAGCAGAAATTAGGAGTCAAATCTGATCCAAGTGATGAAATAACACCTTGAAAAAATAATAAACCTTTCTTAAAAACTTTAAAACTATGTAAAATGTTTTTAAAAACCAATTAATATCACCCTGGCCAGGCGGCTCAGTTAGTTGAAGCATTGCCTTGTATGCAAAAGGTTATAGGTTCGATCCCTGATCAGGGCACATACAGGAGGCAACTAATCAATGTTTCTCTCTCATATCGACGTCTCTCTCTCTCTCTCCCTCTCCTCCTTGCTTTCCAAAATCAATAAGAACATATCCTCAGGTGAGGATTAAAAAAAATTAAATGCAAGTAATATCAATGAATTTAAACAAAATATAAAATACACACCCATTGCCTCACAAGCTGCCGGTGCGAAAAGAATGTGTTCACCTCTCACTTTTGAGCCACTAGGTTTTCTTTTTCGCCACTAAATTCTCCTCTCTTTCTTATAATTTTTTACAATGGTTTTATCCAAAATGTTATTAAAGCAGGACAATTTCCAACTGGTAAAAACTGAATGTTAACTTAATCCTTTCTCAATATCCGGTGAACTGTTTTCTGATTTCCCAATCACCCAGCAAGAGCAAAAAGTGCCGTACGCTGAAGAGAGACTGACTCCTGGCTTTACGGCAGATGGAAAACAGAACAGAAACCTGCGCTGTGTCTCCGTAATAGGTTAGCATTACATGGTCCAGAGAGCTCTTAATGGCAGAGGCCTCAGCATTTTCAAGTCTGCCTACAGGGGAATACAGGGACACAATAACGGGGGCAGGAAGCCACTGGCGGGACAGGCCAAGGTGGGCGGGGCAGTGGTCTGCTGCTCTGCAGAGCAACCCCGACATTCTAAATGACACCCTGCAGCGAGAGAGCACGCGCGTGGATACCGCCTGCCGCACCCAGCACTGCAGCCACGTTACATGCTCACTCTTCAATTTCACCCTGAAAACACGGACATGCTAGCAGAGTTCAGCGAAACCGCAAGCTCTAGAGACACACCGCGGATATTTGAAACTTCAATCACAAAACGGAGAATGATAGTTAGCTTTCGGCATTTGAGTAGTCACTGGAATCTGTCCTGTCTTTCGGCAAGGGAGGCTGTGGGAGCCTACGGGTTATAATTCTCTGGGCACGAGGCTTAGAAACCGGCACGTGCCATCTCAAACCTCGGGCTCTGCCTGTCCCCAGTGCTTTCAGCTATGAGAGGAGAGAGAAGGAGGACACTGTACAGTTCCTTCTGCTTCTTAGTAAGGGCAGGAAAAATAGCTAGTTCTGCAAAGTCCTAGTCCACTGACCACAGTCTCCCATTTGGATTCAAAATGTAACTCTTAGGAGAGTTACAAATCCTTTGTGTTTAGAAGACAGCAGACAAATTGGTAAACGGTGTACGTCAGCACACTTCAGATGGCATGTGCACAGCGTGTAGTTCAGATAAACAGATCCCAGGTACCCTAATAGCTGTGTGACCTTGAGTGACCTCTCTGTTCTTGGGTTATCCTGTGCCACGGGCGTGATGACAGTTGAATGCATCTCACAGGGCAGTGGTGAAGACTACAATGGTTACACTTGGGATTTAAAACAGTGCCTAGCACACAGCAAATCTAAAACAAATATGCATCGCTAGTTTCACCAGGTAAAATAAGCCAACTGGTGAAAGAAACAAGAGTAAACGTCTGCACTCAAATCTAGTATATAAAAGAGCCGCCTGCCATTCTGCCGTTTAACGTGATTGATTAGCGGGCATCCACTTATAAGGCTTTATACTGGGCTCCAAGCTGATGCCAGTAACTGTCATCTTCCACCACCAGTGAGTTCTAGCA